CCACTGTGGAGGCGGGGCTGGCAGAATCACTAAAGCATTACTGCTGGGGCGGGCTCCCTCGTGGCTTTGAGCACCCTGCAATCGCTGCTGCACCTGACAGACAACCGCCTGTTAGGTGTAGGAGGTGGGGGGGGGAGTGTGTTGGAAGCCATCCCACCTCCTCTTCTACACCTGACAGGCAGCTGCCTGTCCAGTGTAGGAGGGGGAGGGGAGTATTAGAAACTACTGTGGAGGTGGGGCTGCACCTGACAGAACTGCCTGTTAGGTGTAGGAGGTGGGGGGGGGGGTTGGAAGCCATCAGAGAGGCTGGACCAGCAGCTTTGCTTCACCTTACAGGTGGTTGTTGGCCACTCCTGATTTCCTTAACTGTCATTAGCTCTCTGCAGTCCCCTGTAACTGTTTTTTTAAACCTCAGAACACTGAGCTCTGCAGCTGACCAATCAGAGAGGGGGGTGCAGGGAGACAGCTGCATGGCAGCCTCATAGGAATCAATGGGGGAGCACATTTCCCCCCTTTTGACCCACTTAGAGGTCGAATTTCTAAAAAAATCCCTTTTTAGCGAGCACCTACGTCACGGTAGGAGTGCTTTCCCCGAATTTTGTGTCTCTAGGTCCAGCGGTTTGGCCTGAACGTTGATTTTACGGTGAGGGGACTTTATTTTATATATATAGATAGATGCTGTCTCCATGTGGGCATAACATCATAGGACACTTGGAACTGAGTTGATCCATCTTGGAGTCACGATATTAATAACTGACTGAGCACCGTTGTTTTAACGATGTTGGATGTTTTTATTATGTATTATATGTTTTAGTCATGGCATGGATGTACCTTGCCTTTGTGAGCCGCCCTGAGCCCATTCATACAAATATGAAAAATAAATAAATACATGTATGTTCTTATCTGTTCCAGCAAAACAAACAATAGCACTTAAAAACATTATCATCCTAACATGGAGCTGTCAGCATGCAGAAGATTTTTTAGCAGTATCCCTCTGGTGCTGTAATTGTTGAATAAGTTCTGACAGGCTCCTTAGCCTCCAGCAGTTTCTATTCATTCAAAAGAACACTAGCTTCACAAACAAGTCATAAATGCCTGTACACACCTAGCACAACATTGAAATTACCAGATGACCTTGGACAAACCACTGTCTCAGTCACATCTGCTGTATCACAGTGGGATTCTGCAGCTCTAAGCATCCTTCTGACATATTTGCAGTGAAGAGAATAGAACCACTTGAGAAGAGTCTATATTTACATTTATATCCCACTTTCCTATCCAGTTGGGACTCCAAGTAGCTTATAATAAGGGTCCCCAACATGATGCTTGTGGCCACCGACACCTTTTCTGGTACCCACCAAGTGTTTTTAGAAGGTGTGCAGGGCCAGGTGGGGCTGTTGACAAGCAAGGCTTCCGATTGGGCATTGGTGGTTTGATGGGCTATGCAAATTTTAAAAAATATTACTTTGGCAATAGTTGCCACCACAGCTTGAGGATCTTCACTGTGACTGGAAGTAAGCTGCAGCAGCCATTTGTGTCTGGCTCCACCTCCATTGCCAGCCATTTTGTGTCTGTGCCCACCATGCCATGTCAGAATTCCACAGGTGTGCGCAGGATCAAAAAAGCTGGGGACCCATGACTTAGAACGTTATTTTTCCCGTCTCCATTTTTTCACAACCCTGTGAGGTAGGCCAGGGTGAGAGTGATGGGCCCAAGGTCATACAGCGAGCTTCCGTGGTAGAAATTGGGATTCAAACCTGGGTGTCCTGGGATCCTAGTCCATACTCTATCCACTCTGCCAGCTCAACTCTACAACACAGCTTCTTTCCATTTTACTGTAGCTCCAGTTTTTAGGATAGGCAAAGCTGGTGGGGAGGGGGTTTTGCCTTCCCATAGGACCTTACCATATGGACATTACTTTAAAATTTTGGAAGGAGTTGAATGGCTCCCGTGTAGTATAAGTAAGGTGAGATAGGCCTTAAAACATGTTTCTTGCAAGGATCTCAGAACCATGCAAATGTAATTAATATGTATAGCTACCACTGAGGTTGGCTAGTTCCATTCAACTATTGAGTCTGCAATTGCTATGATTTTCTTTTCTTTTTTAAATGGTGAATCCTGATCACAAACTGTATGTTTCTCTGCCTTTTAAAAAGCTCTGCTTTGTGGTAATTTCCCCCCACTTTAAATGTAATTGCAGTACAAGCATGCCCTATGTGGACTGACAGAATTGCTACTGAGGCTTTCCAGGGC